CACCAGTAGAGTTGAGGTGATACCTGAAACTAACCATCACACAAGACTAAGGAAATGATAATGTGATTAGTGAGAAGTAGTGATGGACATTATAGGCAGGACTTTGTAGGTTGGGTTTAGAGGGGCATTAGTCAGAAGACATTGTGTGTCTCTTTGTGGAGGAGCAATAGTGGAGTTTGAACTCTGAACCTTGTACTTGCTAAGTAGATGTTCTACTATAGAGCTGTCTCCCTATTGACTACTTTTTTTAGAGTTTCACTTACTGTCTCACTTCCTGTGTTTTGTCTGCACTGAATTTTGCCTATCTTAAGCTTTCTGTTCTAAGTGGGATGACAAGCACATGCCAGAATGTTCAGCTTCTTTCTGTTGGCCTAGAATTTTGATCCTCCTCATGTCAGCTTTCCATGCAGCTAATGATAAGGACACACTGTTGTGCCCAATTATTGTTTATGAAGTATCTTCATGTGTATGGAACTATAGTCCTCCTGATTTCAGCCTCTCATGTGGTTAGAATTATAGACAGGAGCCACCATCACCTGCCTCTAAAAGACAATTCTTTATATATACTTCCATTAGAGCCTTTAGCATTTTGCGGAGGAGAGGGGTCATTCTCTGTCTGAATGTCTTCATAGCTAAGAGACTTTAGTTAGGTGAGTTCTGTTCATCTTTAAGAACTCATGCCTCATCAGAACTGCCAATTAAATAAGTCATTTTTTTATATAATCTTAAAATGATCCATTTGAGAAACTTGATCAGAAATAAGGACAGAAGAACATAGAGACACCTATATTCAGCTTATTCTGTAGTCTAAATTAGGAATATTTTTGAGTTTGAATTTTATGCACTGTATAGATATTTTCTTAACTCTTTCCCATATCTAATACTGAACTTCTTTAGAGCTTGCCAGAAAAGACTGGTGTCTTTGTACTGTCTTGATAAAGTACCGTGGGTAGTTTATAAATAATGGTGTTTATTTCTCATACTTCTAAAAACTAGGAATTGTAAGATCAAGGTGACAACAAGTCTGGTAGCTGGTGAGGGCTGCTTTTTATTTCTAAGAGGGTGACTTGTTGCTGTGTCTTTAAGGAGGCCCAAATGGCTGTGTTTGCTTATGGAAGAAGGGAGAAGATAGAGTGAACTTACTCCCTCAAGCCCTTTTATAAAGGTTTTGTGTGTTGAAGATTTGGACCCCAACTTGATATTGTAAGGTAGTGCTTTGGGGAAGTACCCAATCAGTGAATTTATCCATTGGTAGATTCATAACTGGGTGGACTATTGACAACTGTAGAAAGTGAGGACTGATTGGAGGAAGGGGGACTCTGGAGGCCGGTCTCTGAAGGTCTGTTCTGTCCCTGACCTCTTTTGTGTTTTTTCTGTCTCTTTGCTCCCAGGCTGTTATGAATTGAGCAGCTCTGTTCTGCTGCATAATCCCTGCCATGATGTCCTGCTCCATCACAAGCAAAGGAACTGAGGAGGACTGAAACCTCTGAAACAGAACCAAAACAAAGCTGCTCCTTCAAGTAGTTTTTAAGGTCCTTGTTATAGCTATGGGAGTAACTCAGCTCAGTCCTATCCACAAGGCCCCACTCTCCTGGCTTAATCACCTTAATTAAATCATCCTACCTCTTAATCTTACCTCTTAATTACATTGATAATTAAGTTTCAACACCTAAGTTTGGAGTGCAATCAAATCATAGAAGCTGAAAAACAATAGCTTGAGGTTACATCCTTATAAATCACCTCCCAATATTCTGTTGCTCAGTGCAACAGCTTTCACAACCCAAACTAAAAGTTCCCTTGTGGAACATAGTGTTGATAAAAGAAGGTAGTTCTGGGACATATCAAATCAAAGCCTTGGCACTTTGGGCTTATAAGGAGAGCAACAATCTCTTCAAAGAACTTGAGTGAAATGCATTCCAGTTGTGTCTTGCAAAAAGTTTTGGTTCTGTGATCTTTACCCTTTCAAAAAATAAGCATTGGAACAACTTACTTCTCTAATCCATTCCATCTTCCATTTGCTTAATCAGTTCCCAACATTCTGTACTGATCATTTGGTATTTATTTGCTGCAATAGATCCTAGGGATACAAGGGCAAAAATGTGGTACCTTTTTTTTTTTTTAATCCTTGAGGATAAATTACCTTTTTGATTGTGAAGATGGTGGAGACAGGGTCAAACCTCTTACAGAGGAAGGATATTAGGTTTTGTGGGCCATAATATCATTGATGGAAGTATCCAGCTATCGTCTTGTTGTCTAAAAGCAGCCAGCCATAGAAGACTTGCACACAAATAGGTGTGGTTGTATTCCAGTACAACCTTATTCACTGATGTTGAGATAGGAATTTCATATAATTTTCATATCTCATATATATTGCTCTTTTTAAATTATCTTTAGTGGTGGTATAAGAGTAGTCACTTAACAAAGCAGCTTATGAATACAGTATGTCTTGATCAATGTCACCCCTTTCAACTTTCTCCCTCATTCCCCTCTGCCCACTCCTTCCCTCACTCTTCTTAATTTTGCACAATGTATATTGGATTCTTGTCTACATTTTCTCCTTTGCTCCCCGTAATTAGTCTATCACTTGCCCCTTGATTCTACCCCACCCATTTTGAGTACCTACATCCTAATATTTTATTTTGCTGACCTTTGCCTTTCTAAGGAATTGCACTATTTGAGATCATTCTTAAATCTACTATTTTTCAGTTAATACATTTATATACACTTGCATACCACCCAATGCATTTACTTATGGCTTTGCTAGCTAAATCTAGCTTCTACATATAAGGGAAAACATGAATCTTTTTCCAAGCATTTACAAATGTCACCACATTCTTGTTAACCAACTCTCCAAAAGCAGATAGTGGGTTGAATTTAGTGAGTAAGCCTCAGATTGCCTGTCCTGTGATAGGACATTGATATTGGCAGTTCAGATCTTTTGAGATTCTTCCTTGAGCAACAGTTCACCCATGATAGTTACTGAGTCAACAATGTAGGTGGAATCTTGTTTCTCTGCCTCTTCCTTTTCTCTGTCTCTTAACCCCTAGCTCTACTCCATGGGTCTTTCTCTAATAAACACAAATCTTTTTATGAATTTATGATACTACTGGAACATTGGGGGCTTGTTTTCCTAAGAGAAAATGAAAATGACTCCAGTGAGTATTTAGTATTGAAACAGTTTAATTTAGTTTTTTTTCTTTATTCCCTTTCTCCATACTAGAAATTAACATAAAAATTCCTTTTGGCTAAATTCCCCATGCATTTTCACAGTGAGCATTTTCTGAAGTGAAAATTAGTAGCTTCCTTACCGTTTTCATCAGGGATGTGAAATTGTGTAGCTCACAGGGGTGGAGAGCTCCAACCTCATTTATGAATTAAGGCATGCTGTTGAGGGTACCTCAATGTCTGCAGAATGCCAAGGATGCATTTAGACAGATTCTTGAGCATCTGAATCATGTGTTTTAACTTCTTTTTTTCTTCTACCAGTGAGAAAATATCATTCTCTATTTCAAAAAAGTGAATTCATAAGTAACAAGTAGAACCTATATAAAATTACATTATTTACACTACCCTTAGGGATTGGCATCTCCTAGGGCATATGATAATGCCTTTTTCTAGTCTATCCTGCCCCTCCTTCCCCACCCACTGATTCACATCCAGGTAAAAATCTACTTATAATAAGCACTGAGGGCAACCTCAAACAGGACTCATAATGGGGGGGGGTGTTAAACATATGGGAAAGATTAGATTTCTGCCTTTCCTAACCTCTATGCATTTAGTCCTCTAAACAGATCTGAGTCCTTCAGTCTCAGGACCTAAACCATTGAGTTAGAATATGAACACACACATGCCCTTCCCTGTGAGGAAAATCTATCTTAGTTGCACTTGTTAAAATTTGGATCCTCTTTTCCACTGAGGAGCCATTGTAGATGTCAGGCAAAATAATTAAGTTCCCTGTACTTCAGTTTTCATGGCTATGAAATGGAGTTTAAGGTAGCAAATGTGGAAAAAGTGGTCACCATGAGGCTGATGGAGGATACTGGGGTCAGATGATGAAGAGTCTTGAATATTATGTTAAGGAAGTGAGTCGCTGTCATGATCAGTGGGTTTTTATTTATGACATGTGGAAAGCAGAATGCCTTTATAGAGCGGATGCCCTTCCCACTTCCTCCCTATCATGGAAGCCAGCAAAGCAAAAACAGGCTTTGACAACAGACCATACAAATACAGTAAATCCACTGGCTCCCCCAAGGCCTCGAATAGCTTTTCATCCAGGCCCAGGCTTGCTCATGGAAGCCTTGCATTCTAGTCTCTGACTGAAAGGTACATTCTGGGACAGAATGCCTTATAACGTGTACGTGTTTCTTCTCTTTCTGGAAACATCAAGGCTGCCAGCCTTGCCTGCATAAACCAGAGAGGGCCCTAGAGATGGGCAAGAATGGGGATTTTCCAAGGAGGACAGGAGGGTACAGCAGTTCCCTGCGGATGCTGAAACAAAATCCACCCAGGATTAGGAGAAGAAGCTTGTTTCTTTCTCTCAAACTTGCAGTTTACTTTGGGGTGGGAAACCAGTACATGTTGACTGTGGCTGTGCTGGCTCTTGCTGTCTGTAGATAAGGCTCAGTTCTTCCTTCTTCCTTCCCCAGAGCTTAGCAGGAAACAAAGGGCCAAAAGGGTGCGTGCGTGAGTGCATGTGTGTGTGTGTGTGTGTGTGTGTGTGTGTGTGTTCAGATTACAGGTGCCTAGGAACTCATGTCCCAGAGCAACAAGCATGAAAGGTGGTGTGTGTCTCCTCCCTCATCAAGGCCCCAAAAGAAGGTTGGAAGCTGGCTTAACTTCCAGCTATCCCCAGGCTCAGTTACTGCAGGGCTGCTGCTTCTCCATACCCAGGGTGCTTGCCTTCTCTCCTCCCTTAGCAACCGGGTGGCTGTGGATACCGCTGGCAGCTGGGGCCCCAGGAGTCTGTGGGTAGCCCTGTGCTGATCTGCTGCGGCGTCCCAGCCCAGGTGCCCCGATGCAAGGGGCTACCGCAGTGCGAAGCCACCACGCAAACGTGGATTTCAGGGCTCAGACCTCGCACTGGGGCCGGGCCCTCGCACACGCAGCCACCGCATCTGCGGCGGGGTCAGAAAGAGATTCTGCAAAAATGAGCCATTCTCACCCCGCTGGGTAAGTGACAACTGGAGCTTTTCCACTGCTGGTGGCTCCAGCCAGCAGCCCCTCCTCCTCCCGCGTGCTGCAGAGGGAAGGGGCGAGAGGGGGAAGCGAGAAGGAGGGCTGGGGTGGGGGGAATTATGGATTCTCTGTTAGCAGGAGGGTGGCAGAAATCCCAGGCATCCCATCTCCTCCGGCCCCATCCTTGCTTCTTTCACCAATGTTCGCCTCCTGAAATTTTCATCCTGGAACGATTAAAAAAAAAGAATGTGAAAAACGCATCCATGAAGCAGGGAGGTTAGCTGGAATGAAAAAGATCCTGTGGTGGGAGCATAATGTGTTTAAATGCAAACGTGGAGCTTATCACAATATTCATGTGTTGGGGGATTGGAGGCAGAGAGAAGTTCTCATTTCACCGGGGCTGGCGTATACACGGGGCTCGCGTTGATTTTCAAGTTGCTGGAGCTGTCATTGTGGAGGAAGGCCGCTTATGACACGATTTCTATCTTCCTGCTCTCAAAAGCATCCCAAGGGTCTTCTAGAAGGATTTCGACCAAGGAAAAGTGATATGACAGGAGAAAGGAAAGGGGAGAAGACGAAGCTTGGATGAGGGGGACTACTCCCCAGAAGTCTGCTGCCAATATTTAATATACCCTAGAAAGTTCCCGCAGTCACTATTGGCTATTGCACTAAAAGGTCATTATTCTTTAATGAAACAGAGAACATCCAACCTCCTTCAAAATTAACCAGTAGAAAGTAATTAGATGATTCTTTTGAAATTATGATTCACCTAGTAAAAAAGATAACTATACTGATCTTAGGGTTAATGTGAAAAAGCCATTTAAAAATACAGAGCATATTTTTAGGAGCAGAACATTAGCAGAGGGGAAGATATTTGACATCATTTGAAATTTCTGATGTCTGAAATGTCATATTAGTCATGCCCTTGGGATTTAGAATGAAGCTTGAATACTATTTGTTTCTTTCTAGTATTAATGGTTGAACTCAAGGCCTTACTTTCACACTCCTTTTGCTCATAGCTGTACTTTAACCACTTCAGCCACAGCTCCCACCTGGCCTTTTGCTGATTCATTGGAGATGGAATCTCATGGCATTTTCTCTCAGGGTCGGTATTAAACGGCAGTAATGCAGATCTCAGTCCCTAAGCTAGGGTTACAATCAGGTGAACATATTTTAATGTTTGAAATAAAATATCATAGTCATATAAGATACCCTGTTGGAGTCAGGTTTAGAACCTTTTGCAGAGAGATGACGCTATGCTTAAAAGAGCTTCATAATTTTTCTTAATTTGTATTGAGTTTAGCTACTTTAATATTTTTTGAGGCTGACTTCCTGGACATGGGTCACATGAGATGCAAGTCATAGTTTTTTTTTTTTAAGTTGCTCTTTACAGAATGCCTGAAGTTGGGGAAATGAATGTGTCCGTCATGGTTGTCTTCCTATGTTTTTCAAGATTTTGGCTGCATTAGAGTCTGATTAGACCATTTAATCATCGCTTTTAAAATGTGGAAAAACCTGTAGCTTCCTATTTCATTATGCATGATTAAGATTTCAAAAATTGCAGTCAAATTTTTCTGAAGCTTTATACGAGGGAAATATATGAGGGAAAAGGAAAAAAATCTGATTTAATGAAACAGTGGTGCTTCACAGTACTTTTCAAGAAAGATATTGACATGGCAACAAAGACTGTGCATTAACATGTGAAAATCAGCAACATACCTTATGAATCTTTGTTCCATCTGTACGTAAGAAAGTGTTCAGAAAAAAGTGGAACTGAACCAGTTATATGTTGAACGAACACATTCAGTGAAGAGGAGCATGAGTTCACATGTGATAACTGTGTGAGAGCTAAACATTTCTTAAGTGCTTGCCATGAACTAGGCTCTATTGTAATATTCCACATGACATCGCTCATTTCTACTTCCTACTCACTTCATGAGGAAGTTCAGGGCAACCTCATCTTTTCAGATAAGGAAGTTGAGTTACAGCTAGGAAGCTCTGAAGTTAGAACACAAGGCCAGCTTCAGAACCTATGTCCTTATCCACACATGGTCAGTGGCTTTGATGTGCATGATCCTAAATATGCAGAAATTCTGCTGGTACATGGCCATAACTAATATTTTGACATAGGATTGCAGAATGATTTTGTAGCATATATATATATATATATAGTGATATTTCTTTTTTTTAGTATCAATCTCTTTTTTGTACGTTTTTTATTGTAAAAATGCTGTACAGAGGGGTTACAGTTACATGAGTAAGGTAATGAGTACATTTCCTATTGAACATTGTTGCCTCCTACTTTGTTTTCCCCTACCATCCCTTCCCTCCCACCTCCATAACTCCTCCCTCCCCCAAGTTGTTGAGTTCATTTTTAACATAGTGTTGTGTCCATCTCATTGTTACAATGGGTCAGCCTGTATCCTTATTTAAGCATTTTGTTTTTTCCCTTTCCCTCGCTGAATTAGAGAAGTCTATATATAAGATGCAGGGCACCGAAATCAAATACAGTGAAAACAGGGGTTGTACCGTGAGGGAGAAACACATGAAGCAACTAAAAAAATCACATAGTACATTCTAAATACGTTAGAACCAATAGCAAGAAAGAAAAAGATAGCAGGGCGCCAGTGGCTCACGCCTGTAATCCTAGCTACTCAGGAGGCTGAGATGTGAGGATTGTGGTTCAAAGCCAGCCCGGGCAGGAAAATCCATGAGATTCTTATCTCCAGTAAAGCACTAGAAAACCGGAAGTAGCCTGTGGCTCAAACGGTAGAGCACAAGGATGCAGCGCCCAAGACAAGAGTTCAAGCCCCACAACCAATCAAAAAAAAAAAAAGAAATTTGTGTCCCTGTCTTGGGGTTCATTTCACTTAACATCATCTTATATGGTCATATGTACATGGATTTTGGCCTTTATTGTGATATTTATTAAAAAATAAGGGGGAACAATGAACATATGTAACAAATCTAAATGCCCAAGAATTCACTCAAGAACAAAATTATTCAAATTGCTCTAGTTTCCACCTTAGATAAAAGTAGCATTTTCTTGGCCTGTGTTACCATTTGGAAATAATACAAGTTTCAGTAGCAAATAGAAGATTTCATTAAAGCTGAGCAAGCTCTTTATCATTACTGAAGTACTTTACACTTATTACATTTTTACGGATAAAATGGTAATAAAGTGTAGTTGTGCAATAAAACAGAAATTTTAGGGTCCTGAAATTCCACCAGTCAATAAGTGATGTCCTGGTGCTTTTTCTTGGTATCTCCTCAGAGTTTCTTTGCTTGCTTAATTACAGCATGAAACACTGGATATAAAAATTACAAAGAACCTGTAATGGCTTTGTTCAGATAGAATTTAGAGTAAATAAAAATGGCCTTAAAAACTGCTGTCAAAGACAATAGAGTGAATCTGAGTTGCATTGTAATTTGGTGGAGGTTGAATATAAAACATCATTTCCAACTAATGAAATTGTTTTTATTAATTAATAAGTTTTTTTATTGTGAAAATACTGTACAAAGGGGTTTCAATTACATGGGCAAGATAATGAGTACATTTCTTATCAAGCATTGTAGCCTCCTCCTTTGTTTCTTCTTACCATCCTTCCCTCCCCCCCCATTCCCCTGCCAAAGTTGTAAAGTTCATTTTTTGACATAACGTCTTTTATATCTCATTGTTTCAATGGGCCCACCTGTATCCCTATTTAAACAATTTGTTTTTTTTCTTCCCCTCCACAAATTATACCACCATCAAATATAGTAAAAACAAGTATTATTCTGTGGGGGAGGTACACACAAAGCAACAAAGAAATCATCTTATAAATACGTTAGAAACAATTGCAAGAAAGAAAAAACATTTGAGTCCTTATCTTGGGGTTCATTTTGCCTAACATCAACTTATCTGACTGTTTCTGCTTATCTTAGACATATACTAGTTATTGCAAATAAGGGAAAGCATGAGACCTATGTTTCTTTGGGCCTGGCTTACTTCACTTAATATAATTTTTTCCAAGTCTTTCCATTTCCTAACAAGTGGGGTGGTATCATTCTTTCTGATGGAGGCATAGAATTCCATTGTGTATATATACCACATTTTCTTGATCCATTCATCTACTGAGGGGTATCTGGATTGGTTCCATATCTTAGCTATGGTAAATAATGCTGCAATATGCATAGAAAACCAACAAGACCACAATAAAGGCCAAGAAATCACTCCCAAACTGAGAATCCAAGAACCATAGGAAGAACCCAGTTGTTGCAGCCCCCAAGAAGGTGGATAACATGGCAGGAACTACCAAACACCTCTCAGTCCTAACTCTTAACATTAACGGACTTAACTCTCCAATTAAGTGACATAGACTGTCTAGTTGGATTAAAAAGCAAGATCCTTCTATCTGCTGCCTTCAGGAGTCACATCTTGCCCATAAAAACACATTTTGAAAGTGAAAGGCTGGAAAAAATCTACCAAGCAGATGGCCCCCATAAACAGGCGGGAGTTGCAATCCTAATATCAGATAAAATAGACTTCAAATTAAAATTAGTGAGAAGAGAATAAAAAGGTCACTATATACTAATTAAGGGAACTCTCCTTCAGGAGGATATTACAATTCTAAATCTCTATTTGCCAAACAACGGAGCACCCAAATTTATCCAAGAAACATTACTTTCCCTCAGATCTCACATACATCCAAAGACATTAATTTTTGGAGCTTTAACACACCACTATCCCCACTAACTAGATCAACTTGGCAAAAACTCAACAGAGAAACTGCAGATCTAAACAACTGCATAGAGCAGTTAAGTTTTTTTTAATTGTGAAAATACTGTACAAAAGGGTTACAATTACCAATTACGTGAGCAAGGTAATGAGTACATTTCTTATCAAGCATTGTAGCCTCCTCATTTGTTTCCCCTTCAGATCCTTGCCCCCCACTCCTGCCAAAGTTGTAAAGTTCATTTTTCGACATAACATCTTGTACATCTCATTGTTGCAA